CGCCCGCCCCCCGGTCCCGCGGCAGCCGCTTCTGTGGCCCCAAGATGCTGGCGTGGCGGGGGGACGATGGGGGTGGGTAGCCACGTCCCTGTTGGCCTGGCGGGGAAGGACACCGGCTCTGCTGTCCTTACAACACCTGGAAAATAAGGGGAAGCAGAAATGGCACTTTGGGACTCGTTGGGATCACGCAGAAGAGTCCCCATGAGCATGTCAGCTTCCATTGACCTTGTCGATGGTATCTTCTCAGAGTAGGAAAGGGGGGAAGATATCTGGCCCTGCTTCCACTGAAGTGCCCTAGCCGACTTCTCCCTTACTGCAGAGGGAGCTGGGCTGGGGACTCTGCTGCCAGGGCAATGGGGTTGTTACCAGTCCCAGGGAAGCCTCACAACCACGTGCACTCCTCGACGAGGGTCCATCCTTACCACGCGCCTGTAGTTGTGCTGCTTGATGGCACCATAACCAAACGTCAGGGCTGCTACCGCTGTGCAGAACTCCAGGAGGCAAAAGATGACGAACACCAAGTTCAAGCCATTGCTCAGGGTCTGCAGGGAGGAAAGCAAAATGGCCCTGCAGGCCTCACTTGCTGGCCACTGGAGTCATCTGCATCCCTTGTGCAGCAGCAACCCCATCCCCCTGTCCTTCTGCCTATGCAACCACGGGAGGCTGAGACCCATGGGGCATTTTGACAGCAGTTCCTTTGCTGTCCTGGGCTAGGCAAGTGACGGCAAAAAGACCGCAGGTGGTGGCTGGCTTGAGGGGGAACTGGGAACCTGTACCTTTCTGTCAATGTTGAAGCACCTTTCTTCTCTCAGCTGGTGAGGCCAGTTGTGCTCGCACCCGGGAAGGCTTGCAGTAATAGTCTTGGCATGGACAATGGTGGCCACCAGGGTGCTCAGAATGATCCCAGCGCTGAAGATGCAGCAGATCTTCACCTGTTGTGGTCGCCTCACGTCAGCCGTCAGCAGCACTCCATCCCTACTGCTCCCGCCAAGAGCGAAGCAGCAGTACAGATCACAGCAAGAAGCCCTAGCTGCTTACAGAGAGCTCAGAAACCCCGGTGATACAGTGACACAGAGCTAGGATGAGGACACTTGGTGCTTTTTATTTGAGCTGTCTGAGCAGGGGGGCCTCAGAGAGGTTGGGTGATTTGACTAAGGTTGAGAAGAGGGGATTTACTCCAGAGCTGCCAAGCTGCATGGAGCCAATAAAGCTTTTTATGGCAGGGTTAGATCTGATCTGCAGTCAGGGTGGAGCCACTTAGCCTCCTGGGGAAGCCACCTAGGGGCAGATGGTCTCTGTGACATTTTTTCTCCCCATCATCTGCTAGTGACTCCACTGGGTTCTAAACGTTTCATAGAGGCCCTGAAGCTTGAGGTGTTGGCCACCCTCAGTTGTCAATGGGAAGAGAACTGGGCACCTCCAGAGAGCAAGCCTGGTCTTAGGTGCTTCATGCTAGGCCCGGAAGAGACATAGGATGAATCCAGGCTGCAGAGAGGTCCCATGAGCCACCAGGAGGGGCAGAAGCCACAGAAGCATGCCATGAGCTCTCTGTTCCTCCCCCTGCCTGGCCTTGACTGAACCTGCTCAGCAACCCTCTTACCAGCAGGATGTTCTCTCTTTTTCCACTTTCCACCAGCAGAGACCCTGTGACCAGGAGCTGCTCCAAAAACAGAGATGGGAGAGTCAGCAGCAGGATTCCTCCTGCTCCCTGTTACATGTCGCGCACATCCTATAGCCCCTTGAATGACACACCAGGAGCGTTTGGGTCTGCAATCACAAACTCCCCCAGTCCCAGAAGAGGAGACAGCCAGAAGATATGGGCATAAAAGGAGATCCTAGTAATGAGGGAATTTAATGCGAGCAGTAGATCCACTGAGATCACCCTGTTCTCGACTGGCAGTAGGGAGGTGGAGCCCAGGCATGTCCCTGCTTACCAGGAGCCCAAGCCAGAAGAGGACCCCACTGGCCACAGTGATGGAAGGGATCTCATGCTCTACCACGGTCAGAATGATCCCACAGCAGAAGTGTATGATTCCAGTGACAATGTGGATGGCCTGGGGAGGGAGAGATGGGAGAGAGGTTCCCAGTCACTCTTGGCCCAAAGCACTGCATGCCAAGTTACCATGGCCATTAACAAAATCACACCCCATCCTTGCTGTTGCTAGCATCACAACATGTCCTTGCCGCACGCAGTGGTGCTGAGAAAGAAGCCCAGGCTAGCTGAGTGCTCAGCTGGCACTCAGCATGACTATATGAGCTGACCATGCAGACAAAGAAACGCAGTCAAATTCAAACACCACCTCCCCCAGGCAGAGCAAGTCCTTGCTCGTACAACCCTGCCAGCGCATCCCTGCCTTGTGACACTCGGGGCCAGTCCCATCTTTCCCCGCAGCTTGTCCCAGGCAGGGAGGCCTGCAGCAACCCGTATCCTCTGTGCGCTCGCCTGGGGCGCTGCACTCTCACCCCCAGTGCCTTGGGCTGAGCCCTTCTGAAGCTGTGGACTTGGAAGGACGAGGTGGCAGGTGCAGTTGGCCTGGAGCTGGAGGCCTGCTGGGCTGCTGGGGAGTCTGTGGCTGGGATGACCTCCGTGATGATCCTCACACTACCAGAGTCCGTCACTGTGGCTGCCATCGCCTGTGGGCAGAGCGGGGCTGGGGAAGAGGAGCACGCGAAGAGCAGGCCGTGGGGAGAGCACCCGGAGCACCCACTGTGGCAGGGGGGTGCCATCGCCTGTGGGCAGAACGGGGCTGGGGAAGAGGAGCACGCGAAGAGCAGGCCGTGGGGAGAGCACCGGAGCACCCACTGTGCCAGGGAGGCAACAGAGGAGCTGAAGGTCAGCGAGGACGGGACTAGGCCAGCTCCCACCCTCCTCTTTGGAACAGCACATGGGACATTGCCATGGGAGGCATTGACATCCTCTTGCACTGACACAAGGATGTCACACATGCCATTCTGCTCCCCACACCTTGCCCCTGGCCTGGGTACCTCCTTCAGCCTTGGCTTGCCCTCGTCTTCCTGCACACTGCCAGGCGTTAGCGGGTCCTTGTGGTCCCTTCACTGCCCGTCTCCCCCTTGGAAGAAGTGGTCAGGGTCCAATCGGCTGGAACGGCCCAGACCTGCCGGGAACATGGTCCTGCTGCCCTTTGCTCCCTGCAGGAAGTTTATTCATGGAAATCTCAGCAGGTCCCTCTTGCTCAACAAGCATGATCCTGGCTGCTTTGCCAACAGAGGGGAGAGATGCTGGCAAAAACCACGCATGTTTTCATCTGTGTTTGCATGAAGGAGAGGTTAAACCCTGGGGCACATGCATGGGGTGGGAGAACAGGACAGGGAGAGGGGCTAGCTTTGCAAGCTGGCGGTGGGCACCCTCTCCAAGGCCTTTGCTGCAGCCTGGGGAAGGAGCTGGACACTTGTCCCTTGGGATGCTCTGAGGAGGAGATCCCCCTGCCCAGGCTTGGGCCCATCCTGCCTTCCACCCCCAGCTGCGAGCATTTGGTTTCATGTCGGCCATGGGGGCCACCCTAGATCCTCCCCTCAGCTGCTCCAAGAGCACCAATGGAGGGGAGAGCTCCAGGCTCCCCTTGCCTACTCTTACTTCAGCCCCCAGGGATGACTGGGAGGCGACAGTTGTGCCGGTAAAAACTTGGGAGAAAAAGGCAGTTCAGGTTTGCACATGGGATCTGAGATGCCAGATGGCTAGTTGAGGAGGCTTTGTGGCTCCCGAGCCCAGAGTGTAGCCCCTGCGCTGGCAACAGGCCCAGGAGACAGGGTTTTCCTGCACTACCTCTGGCCTGGTAGGACCTGGACTAGCATCAGATGGGATCAGCTTGTGTGGAGCAGCTCTCATTCAAACTATCAAACCATCTTCACTGTCAGCACAGGCTGACTGCATCCAAACTGCCACCTGGGCAAGGTCCTCAAGTCGTGCTGGTGCTTGGACTCTGCATGGGAATTGCTTGCAACGCCACTAAACAACATCATGGGCTGGGCAGTCGTGTTTGAACAGTGAGGCATTCATGTATCACCTGGAAAGGGGAGGTGTAAACCTCTGTATCTCCAAGCACTGTGTATCTCAGCCCAGGTCCCTTCAGAGCCTTGCACCTCCCTTTCCAAGCCGGCTCAGGATGGGGACCTTGGCTCAAAAACAAATGGGAGAGGAAGCTTTGTGGTGCTCCCAGGTGTCTTTGGGGTTGACAGAGCCACGTGCAATAGCAGCACAGGGAGGAGTCAGAGATGTGCTGAGAGCATCTTTGAGGTGGTATAGGGCAGAGTGGACTGCCGGAAACGAGGGAGTCACTAAGTGCTCAGAGAAGGGTGCTCAACAGTTAGCTTTGCAATTAACCAAGCGCCAGCCCTGGCAGAGTCCTAACAAGGCACTTGGAGACTCATTTGCCCACTCTGGGATTGCAGAAATATGTAACACTGGCAGTTGCCCATCCCAAGCATCTGGCTTGCAGAGCCCTGAGCAGCTTCTTACAACAATTAAGAGCCTCCCAGTCCTGGCAGAGTTTCTCTTACAGGAAAGAGAGTAGTGAAATGAGGTTTAGCACAAAGCTTATAAACATTGTCAGTCTATAAAGTTCCTAACAAAGCTCCTTTGTTGCCTTTTAATTTTAGTCAGGTTTCTCCTTCCTGACAAAGTCCAATGCTCAATACTGTGGATCCATCTCTGCTGATGACAGCTAACCGCCCCACAAATGAGCCTGAGGTGTGGGCGGCCGAGCAGTGGTGATGCAGACACTGCCAGACAGTTCCCAGCGTGGGACCCAGCGGGAGCCTGCTGGTGCAGGGGTCTCTGACCACTCGTCCTCCCAAAGCGAAAAGAGATGCGATTCTTTCCAATAGGAAATTAGAGTTCAGCCTGGGAACGGAGCCACCACACATGGTGAAAAGCTCACGAGACACAAACTTTGAGGCCCTCTTCCTCCCTCTTCGGACCACTGTCTTCCAGGTCTGCCAGAAAACAGCTATTTCCTTTGGGGCCATCATCCCCATCTGCTCGCTAGGACGGCTGGGATCCTTCGTGCTGGCCTGCGAGGACCTCCCAGGTTTCTTTGACAAGCGCTGGCAAATCACTGCTTGTTTGACAGGCCCAGGATAGACGTGAGCAGCAGATGGGCCCAGTGGTGCTGCTGGGGTGTCTGTCTGTACAAAGCCTGCTGGATGCTGGCCCCAGTCCCATCCTGTCCTCGGCTCCTCTTGTGCTTAGAAGGTAAAACCCAGCCACAGCACCTCCACTGGGTCAGCTCCCCAGCACCAAGGCACTGTAGAGGGCTTCGGCTTTAGGACTGCGCAGAGCAACAAAGCTTCCCGTGCCCAAGGTGGCTGCTATGCTGGAGAAGCAATGGGATGAGGTTTGACTTGATCTCTACCTGGGAGACCTGAGGTGGAAGTTGGTTTGAGGAACAGATGGGAGGGAGCAGGGTGTTGGCAGACATGGCTCTGGGACCCTGCTTGGATTTTTTCTTCTTTAGAGGCTGGCAGTTTCTGACCACATCCACAAGAGCTATTTCCATGGTAAGGCAGGAATATTTAAACACAATGCTCTGATATCTCTGAGTGGAGTTGCTAGCTTGTCTCAGGGAGCTTAAGGCTGGCTTCACATCACATGAGCATCATGAGTGTTGAACATGAGCATGAACACGAGCATCAGCAGTGTTAAGGGTCTCAGCACATCTCCCTTAAATATCACCATCTCTATCTACACTTGTCATCGCAAACCCACCACGAGACAGGACCCTTCACAGGGCAGTTCCTCCTAATGATTTTAGGAGCAGCTGAAGCAACTGTCAGAAGTGCCTTTTTCTTTCTTTTGACCCTAGAGGGAGCTGAGACAGCTGGTTTAGACTAGACACCACTTTTAGAGCACAACATAGGTGAGCTGAATCCAGCTGATGAGGTATAAACTCAAGCAAGGAATAAGCAGCAGTCCAAGGCTGCCCAACCCAGGAATGCAAAATAATAACGATACCAAAATTAGATACATATATAGATCATATATAGTTGCCATATCTTTGTTTTTCCACTGGTAAATGGAGGGATCAGCAACACTTCTGTTTCCTGCCTTGTTCATTTTGTTTGCAGAGACCAGGGTGTGAAGCTGTTCTTTCATATATGCATGCAGATCAGCTGGCTCTTATGTTTCTTCTGAGGACTTTCCTGAAGGCTTTCTTCACAGCCCTGTTGTGCTGACTGTAAACCATGGGAACTGACCAGTGGGTGGACCGCTGTGTGGACCAGGGTGGCCACCTTGTCCCCCTGGGCACTGGGCCACAAGCCCCTGAGCAGAATAGAGCCACAGAAAAGGACACCAAGTAAGCAGCGCAGGTAGAGACAGCCTTGCACTGACCAGTGGATGAGAGGATGCACAAGCTGGCCACGACAGTGGCTGCTTAGGAGCCAAGGATGAGGCCACGGTGGCTCCCATGTTGCAGCATGGATGAGCTTGTGTACCCCAAGGTTGGACAGGAGTTGGTCTCCTCACTGCCACGTACTGCAGGTCTCACATGAACTTGCCTGGCCTTAGCCACTGAGCTTCGATTTGAGACCTCATCAGTGTCCCATTTTTTTGTCCTTGTAGTCAGACCATTTCCTGAGATCCTCATCTGTCGGCTAGTGAGATGGAGCACCTTCGGTCTCCCATCATGAGAGCAAGCCCAGTTCCTATGCCCTCCTGTGTGTTCCCACACACTGGGAAATGGGGCCAGTAGCTGGAGGGATGACAAATGAAGAGGTTCTCACCAAACCAATCTAAATCATTCCTTTAAAAAGAGCTGGGAAGACCTGTCAGGGCAAACCCAGTCAGCAAGGAGCAGTGAGCAACCGGTTCCCCACCACCCTGGCTCCGGGCTGGGCTCCTGCTGCCTTCATGTCTCCAGGCAAACCGCACTGTCCTGCATGTGGCCAGAGAGCAGGGTTGAGACTGCAGCGGGCTCACCCAACTCCACAGCCCACCCAAATCCACCGTTCAGTGGCAGCTGCCAGGCAGAAAACTGCAGGCAACTAAAGCCTGCTGAAAGCAAAATGCTCTAGCAGTGCATAGCATTGCTCCGCGTGTGAGCTCTGGAAGAGCCACTGGGTGGCATTCCTCTATCGCGCAGCCTCTTGTGAGAGAACGGAGTGTTTGGACTTGTACAAGGCTGCAACTGGAGACACAGTTTTCCAGCAAAAACACGGAGATGGATGAGTTTCAACTGTTAATCACACTCCTGATGGCTCTTAATGTTTAATTTTTGCTGGTAACTTGACAACATCTCTCTCCGGAGGGAGACCTTTTTTTTGACATCCTGACGCTAACTATTTTCTCATTCGAGCTCTGATCTTGTTTCATTCTCTGTAGCTACACATGGGGTAAGCCCATGAAAATGATGGGAGCTGACATGTAGCCTTTGTACAGGCATGGTGCCTGCCCACATGAGTGATAATAAGTAATATAAGTTGTGCTTCCAGCTGAAACCACCTCGCTACAGTGGATTTCCTCACAAATCCATGTTTTCGGGTTCCTAAAGCATTCCTGAATGTTCAGCCTTTCAGCCAGAAACATCCTTGACTGGTCTTATCCCTGCAGCAGGGTTTTGTTAAGTGTCTGAGCAAAACCCATTTCTGAATGAGGTATCTGTGGAGAAAGTGCTCTTCCTTTTTTAAATAAAGCCGGGGTCCAGCTGGGGATGGCAGGAGCCCAAGGTAGGATGTTACAATTTACTTTGGAAACAGATGCCAGAGGAGGTGAAGGTTTTTTAGCATCTGGCTGAGCAGATACTGGGAAGTGGCAAGTCCTGGACGATGTAGCCTTCCTGTCCTTTACTTGCAGGCATTTCTGACTTTGCTGATATATACAGTGAGTTGCTAAGATTTTTTAAAGTAGAATTTTGCTCTCCTGGCAGATGCAAATCTTCCCTTGATGCTTATTCTTTATTTTACATCACCAGGAGGAAACTCAGCAAATTAAACACATGCATACAGAGCAAATGTGTATATCCAGCACAGACTGAGGGCGGGTGTTAGCTGAGATGTTCGATATTGGCAAAAACTGTATGTGTGAGCATAGCTTTCAGTGTGGGGGTGTAAGTATAAACATA